CTTTTTTGCTTTTATATGGAATATTGTTTTACAGTACTCACTGCTGCTGTCTGAGGAGGCCTCCAATGTCATGAGCACTGGCACACTATCTTGTCTACTTCACTTTTTTTTAAGATGAAACAAGGTTCAAACCACACATTCTCTGTGAACTGCTAAAGGCTGAGAAAAATTACTTTCTTTTCTCATGACCTGGATTGACAAGAAGTACACCTACAGGAGGAGGCAAAAAGATGAGTGAATCCCTTTTAAAGACCCCAGTAATGAAGCCCTCAGGGAATTGCTGTGTATGGCAGAATTTGCAGTGGCTTCTGGAGATGAACAGTGTGGCAGGAAGAGGTTCAGGAGTGCTGGCTGTTGAAATACACTCTGCATTTATTTTATATAGGCCTATTTTGGGCCCCAGTGAGAAAGTTATTTTAATAAAATCTTGCTCTGCCAGAAATATACATAAGTGGCAGATGTCATAAAAAGAGGGGAAAGTTACAGCACTCCATTCTCCTTGAGACTTAAGGAGTTTATAAAGTTGTTCTCTTTTAGCCTTTGAAATAGACACTGATGCATACAGAAGCACAAATCGAAAAGGACACTAGACATATGCTAGACCAGTGATCCTCAAAGGAATCAGACTCTCAGGGCTAGGGTACAGAGGACCTGCGTTTTTAACAAGCTGCCCAAATGATTCTGGTACAGCCAGCCCAGTGTTTGGGAACACCTGGTCTGGCCCAGTACTCCTATTTTACAGATGAGAAGGTGAAGGCCCACATAAAAAAATCTTTTAATTTAAAATATATGAGATATTAACCTATTATGGAATAGAAACCATATTTTCTTTTTCCCAGCATATCTATTTTCCCAGGAAGTCACAGTGGCTCTTGGAGTGGTCGCAGTTAAGATCTTAGCCACTTGCTTTCCTCCATAGACAAGGCCTATTTAATACCTGAGGCTTTGAGGTGTGCATCTTGAGGTCTCCTGACTTCTATTCTGGACTCTCTGCCTTTCAACATACTGCTTTCAAGGTTGAGACACTTAATTACACTAAACTGCTACATCTGTGAGAAGGCTACTAAATCATTCTTCTCCATTCTATCCTTTTGTTGTTTGATTTTCATGAATTCTTTGAATTTGTTTTCTATAGATTACTTTCCTTAGTCTACTTATGAATAAAATCTGGGTAATAAAGTAAAAATATGGTATTGTTCAATATGGGTAAAAATTATTTTTAAGGCACCAGCTAATGGCTCCACATTTACTACATACTGACTCTGAACCTAAACACAGCTTTCCTAGAACCAGGAGAGAGTAAACTTTGCTTTATAAGTTTCCTGGATAGACAGTATATAACCAACACATATAAAGAAGAAGCATTCATTTATCTATTAATTCAGATATTCTTGACCAATTTTCTATATACTAGTGCTAATCTAGACATGGAATACAGTTGTGAGCAGGAGAAAATTTCCCTGCTCTCATGGAGCTTAAGTTATAGAGGGAGATTGTATGTGAAGCCTATCTAAAACAAGACTGTGTGACCCCTAGAATATAAACTCCATGAAGACAGAGATTTTTATCTGTTCTGTTCATGGCTGTGTCTCCGGTGCCTAAACAGTGCCTGACACATAGTAACTGCACAGTGGATAATTATTTAGTGAATGGGCAACCATCAAGTAAATAGAAACTGTGGCCCCTCCCAAATTAACTATTTTACAAAAATAAATAGAATGGGTAATGTTTAATGAGAAATATTATTTATGTATAAGAGTAAATTGTTTGCATCTATTTCTAATTTGCTACATTTTTGTAAGCTCTAAAAGCTTTTTAGAGCTTACAAAAAAATTTATATCAGAGTGTATACTTTAGGTGTGTGGTATGACATATGTCGATATTAACCAAAATAGCAGCTGCAAAAATATATGTTATACAGTATACCTATAAAAACTTAAATATTTATATTTGTTTTATAAAATAAACGATACTTTTATTTACAAGCTAAAGCAGTCAAGGATGAAATGGTCTCAGAATTAGAATGTTTGTCATGATAAAATAAAAAGGACATTCAGGCGAGCTGTGTATCAGTAGTTATAGTCTGTTCAGGTTATGATGGCTGTAGTAATCATGCTGTCATTTTATGTAGGCTTTTCATCTCTCAGCTTTCAAAACATTTAAGAGCTGATGTTGAACAGATACGGATTACATAAATGGTGTTTCTCTGTCATCCTCCCCAGCAAAGTATATCTCTACGGGTGAAAGGGTGGTGGCCAAGCTAGGAAAATAAAAAATGAGAGAGTTTGAAATAGCTCATGATTAATTAAGCACAAGTACTTAAAAATATTAGAAGTCTCTAAGATGATTAGTTTATAAGCAAACTATGTGATGGGAAAAATCGTTTTATAAAAATTTGTAATAGGACTACTCTGTATTTCCTTATCTCTAAACAGCATTACATTCTCTCTTACTACCTGAAAAAAACTGCTATTGAATTTTTTTTTTTCACGAGACAAACTGGGAAGTGGCTCAATCCATCCAAAAGCAAAAGTCTACCCTAAGTCATTGTAAATTATATAGTTTCTCCACACTTTACCTTGCAATCTTAAGATACAAAAGTTCCTCAACTTCCTATCTTAACAACAAATACCACTTTCAACACTTTTAACATGTCCTTTGTGTTAAACACTGAAAGACGAGAATGTTGAAAGACCTAGAATGAAGAGGAGCTATTAGAACAGAAACAAAATTGAAGGTGGGGAGGAGATGGCAGATGTTTAGAGGAATGAGTTCTTTGAAAATAGGAACAATTCTGTAGGGCTTTCAGTTTATGCATCACTTGAAAATTACTGTGCCTGAGAAATCCATAATAATCAGCAGGCGATGAGGAAAAGGATGAACAATTGAAGAAGTGGAAAACTTGTCACCACAGCATCAGCTTTGATGTCAGATATCTCTTAACCTTAAATGAACTCAGGAGACAGCTAGAAGTTTGAGAACTTAAAAATTAAGCATATTGTGAAATGTTGCTGCTGAAATTTTGGTCACAAGCTATGGATTATTCATAGGATCAAGGCCAGTTCACATTTGCATAATATCCAAGTGGGTAGCTAGGTCACGATTGCACTATACAGACATGCTCAAAGCTCTCTACCCCTCCTGCCGAAGTTACAGCCGGAGAGAGGGACTGTCATTATAGACAAAACTGCTTTATTTTGGGAAAAGATGTCCATAGGGAAACAGACAAACAAGTAAACATAAAATATCTGAACAAAGAGAAGAATACTCTTGGTTTTAAATTTTCTATAAGAACTGACTCATGTTTCTGTTAAGAACTGACTTAGTTTCTTCTCAAAAGAAAGTTCAAACTCTTCTTAGTTCACTGAAAATACTGCAAAAAATCTTCAAAGAGCAGATTGAAAACCCCAAATTCTTTTTTATAGTGTGTTGGTTGCTGAGGCCTTTGTTTCATTGCCAATGTCTAAGTCACAATTTTAACTTAGAGTTATTTGCTATGATGTCAACAGCTGTATAGGAGCAGTGTCTTATTATGATACTTACGAGTTGCTTAGTATGAAAATAAGAAAAACAAAATTCAGAGATTTGGATAAATTTTTAAAATTTGGATAAATTTTTAAAGATTGTAAACAAGTAATAAGAGTCAGGACCACTGTTATAAACCTTCTTTTCTCTCATGAAAGTAATCTGCTCGTGTTTATTATCCATATAGTGTCATTTTAGACTTGGGAACAAAATGGTCTCAAGACCAAACCTATACATAAGTTGAAGGGCTCTTGTTCTCTGAAGTGGCAGGAGAAGTTTTATTCCAAAGTCAACAAAAAACGAACTGACCTACCAGCAAAGATTAGTACATCAGTTGTCTCTATTATATTAAAATTTGATATATAACACTTCTGAGTATATGTGTTGATTTTAAATTGTTTTTTAATAACTAAATATTTTTTGAAATAAAATCTGGCTTCATACAGTATGTCTCCTTTATCTTTTCCTTCTATCCTCATTCCAAGTAAGGGTAGGGAGTAGATGTGGGGGTCTTTTTTGATATAATACAAAATAAAAATTATGCCAAAGAAAGTCAAAAAAATTGACCCCATATATTGCTTACTAATTATACAGGAGGAAATATATCTCTACAGTAGAACCTTCTGATAGTCACCACCCTAACCAAGTGATCAAATTTATAGCATTACTAAGACCCGTACAACCTGACATTTTGTGTCTCCTGTATTGATGCAATGTGAAGTACATGATATTTCATATTAAGGTTCTTGCCAAAAATGTTTAACCTAAACCTAAGCATGCTTCTTCAGACCCAACTCTCAGTTTGCAAGCAAGACAGGGACAAGTTAAATGACATGATGAGGAAATAATATGACAAATCCCCAAAGAGAAACATTTTATAAGACAGCTACCCTAGTCTCTTCAAAAAGTCAATGATCTTTTTTTTATGAAAAAAGTTATGGTTTTTATTTTCATTTCATGAAAAATGAGGAGGGTCTGGTCTAGATTTCAGAGACGTAAAAACAAATTGCAATGTGTCATTCTTGATTAATTCTGGTTTGGGGAAAAAAGATATAAAGTGTATTCTTGGGACAATTGGAGAAATTTGAATACACATTTTATATTAGATGATATGGCATTATTGCTAGTTTTTTAATTTGTTAGTGATCATGTGGTTATGTATGAGATGCTCTATGCTTATAAGATGCCTGCTAAAGCATGGAGAGTTGAAGAGTCCTGATGTCTTCTACGGTCCAATCTAGATAGAGTGTGTTTGTACTGTTCTTTCAACTTTTCAATATTTGAAAGTTTTATATGTATACTATATGGTAAAGTATATATTTATATACTGTATATCTCTATAGTTCACTATAGATATATATGAGAGAAGAGAGGAGGAAAGAGTTAACTTTTATTCTTTGAGAAGCAGAAGTTATGGAAGCACTAAATAATTTTTAAAGAACTAACAAATTAATTTTTCTCCTTTTCTATTTTAGGCTCAAGAGAAAGGAAGATTAGACTATGCTAAGGTAGGTAGATTTTATCTATACTAAACAGGTTTGTACATTTCAATTTGGTGTTTGGTTTTCGTTTGCATTTGAAAGATCAAAAGAGAACCATCCCTTTCAAAGCTGAGGAACTTCCCCTGTTAAGTAACAGGCATTAGCAGATAAAATAAGATTCATTCAATGATCAGTTTATTTATTGAGTTCCTCCTTCATTCCAGACATCATGTTAGGTGTTTGGAATACAACAGTGAACCAGATCCAGTCTTTCCTTTCAGGATATTTACAATCTAGTGAGAGAGATGGATAACTAATAAACAACTAAATGGATACATAATATAATGTCAAATGATGGTAAGTGCTATGAAGCAAAATAGCAAAATAAACAGGGTAAGATCACTAAGCATTGCTGGAAAGATGCCTTTGGCCAATAGATGGAAGACAGCTTTTAGTGCTATCAGACCAGACCTGGCGAGCACCATATAGGACAGGCTCAGGTTCCTAAAGGCAGTAGTTCTCACATCATCTGTGGAGCTTTTGAAAACACACATGCCTAGGTTTCCACTGCATCAAACCCTCTTTCACCAAGATCAAAGTTTCCTGGTGGGAAGAGCAGGGAAGGCACAGAATGGAAGGGTTTAAAAAAAGGTGCCATGATAATTTGGCACACAGCCTTGGTTAAAAACTGCAGAAGTTCAGATTTCAGTACACCAGTGAAGCCTATGAACCTACTTCAGTCACATTCTGTTTTCCCCTCAGGAACAAATGGAACGTTTTAGCAAACGTGGGATGCATACAGCTGGTTAGCTAAAGGAACATGTTAACCATCTGGTTCATGCAACAGTCAGAATATCCAGGGTGTGAGTACACCTGCACTCCAAAGATAGGGAAGAAGAAATATGACCCATAAGGGTTCTGCTTGCAGGGGAACAACTAAAACATAATGATTCCTCAGGGCGGACCCAGCACCCCATGCTCTCCTGGCAGCCCCGAGGTGCACACCCATGGCTCTCTTATCCTTGCTAGAAGTACAGTCCCTCCTTTTCACTGTTTCACAAGCTTTTGCCTCATTCAAGAAAATTTAGATAACAGAAGCACCTTTAAACTGAGAACTTCCATATCTGTCACTTTTGTCCTAGATGTCTATTTGAGTCTTATCAAATACCCAGATGTTGGCTGTGGACATATCCTCTTGAGTTTCCCACAAGCAAAGAAGCTCAATGCATCTTAAACTGAACTCAGCATCTTCCCCACATCTCTGGTCTTATTTCCTTTTAACAGACTTAATTTTTTAGAGAAGTTTTAGGCTCACAGCAAAATTAAGCGAAAAGTATTGAGAGTTCCCACCTGACCACCCATATGCATAGCCTCCCCCACTATCAATATTCTGCACCAGAATGGTACATTTCTTACGATCAATGAACTTACACTGACACATCATTATCACCCAAAGTCCATAGTGTACATTAGGGTCCGCTTCTGGTGTTGCATCTCTGGTCCTTGTTACATGTTCGCTCTCCTGTTGTTGGCACTACCATCTTACCAGTCAACCATGTGAGAAAGTTAGAAGTCACCCTTGAGTGCTCCTGTTCTCTCACCCCTATGTTCCATGACCAAGTCATGCCAGTTTTATATCCTAAATTTTCTTGCATCCATCCTTTCTTCTTAATCTCTCTTTCATTGCTTGTGTTAAATTACTTCATGTGAACCACTGGAAAACATACTGACTGGTATCCCTGCCTGTCTTTTGTCCCTACAAATCCATTACTACTTGAATGTCAGTCTAAGCCACAAATCTGATGGTTTCATAGTCCAGCTTAAAACCCTTCATTAGCTCCAGGTTGTCTATAAGGCAGTTTCAAAGCTTGCTAGATTAGCATATAAAATACTGTGCGATCTTGCCCCCTAGAGGAACTCTTCACCTTCTCTTTCTACCCTGTGTTCTAGCAGCACCAAATTATAGGAAACGTACTGTTTCTGTTTTCCATGCCTTGACTCAGGCTAGCCCCTCTGTTTGGAACAGTTTTCCCCCTTTATGTGGCTCCCCCCATCCCTCCTATAAAGCTTAATTAAGGATCATCATCTATTGGGAGTCCTCCCTGGCTCCCCAGGCTGGATCTGGTGCTTTCCTCCATTCTTTAATACACTGTAGACCTTTCAGTCTTTGCACTTGCTCTATTACGATGGTCCATTTTCGAGACAGATCATAGACTGTGAGCTCTTTGAGGGCAGGGTCAGTGTCTTATATGTCTTTGTATACTTGGTGCCTAACACAGTGCTTGGCACTTGGTAGATGGTGTGTGAGTATGTGAGCGAGCGAGCAAATGAGTGAGTGAGTGAGGCCATAAATAAGAAAACAGAAGACACATGAATGCTGCAAGAGAAAATCTGGTGTGGGGTTTTTGATCTGAATCAGAGAGGGAAAGAAAGCTTTTGACACATGTCGTAGGTATCAGCAGGATTGAGAAGGTTGCTGAGGAAAGTTGTAACAAACCAGTTTGGAAATAAAGGTGGCAATAGAAAGCTGACTTGTAAACTAAAAAGTAAGGGGAAAGACACGATTTTGCAATAGAGTGAGTGTTTATCATTGATGCTTATTTATGACTCCAAGAACTCCTTCAGGGTCTCTTATTACAGAAGCACATGACAATAGAAGAGGTTTGAAGAAAAGAAAAAGATATGGTGCTAGCTTTGCCATCAACTCACTGCAAAATCTAATGTCAGTCACTTAACTCTTTGGTCTTCCCTCCGTTTCTTTAGTATAAAATGAGCAGTTTAGAATAGTGCTGTTCTACAATTTAAGCCCATCCCAAATTTGAGAGGAGACATTCTTTGGTGGGGATAGAGGCAGCAATTTTATCTCGTATAATGTGGAGGTCCAAATTCATTCCTTTATCTACTCAACCATTATGTATTTGATATTTAGTATGCGTGAGGCGTTGTGCTGGTGCTGACTCCCACCATGAACAAGACTGATGCAGGCCCTGCCATCACACGCTTCCTTGACTCAGACCTCCCTATCTAAAGTAGCCACTCTCCCTTTGTTCTATTTTTTTCCTCTTAGCATTTATCGTAATCAAAAATCATTTTCATTTAGTTGTTTGTTTCTTTTTCCACTAGAATGTAAGAGCCCTAAAGACAGAGCCCTTAATGGCCATGTTTATGGTTGCATCATCTGTAGCCAGCACGTTGGAGTGCTTGATAAATGCGTGTGGATGAGTGCATTAGTGTTGTACTGGGAGAAGTGCAGGAGATTGCGAGATATCCAGAATTGAGAATTGTAGACTCAAATTAGCCTTTTTAAGAGTATATAGACCATACAAGACAGTCCATCCTAGTGTTCAGTAGCCCTAACTTTGCCTTCCCAAGTGCCCAGTGACAATATTTCTCATGCCAGTAAACATAAACCCACTACCCTGGAATATGTGGTGATATTCTGATTTTTAAGGGCATAACTTGATCTAGGTGATTAATCCAGACCTATTATCCTTACATGGACCTAAACCCAAGTAACATGCAGAAGAAAGGTTATATTCATCTGTACCAAGTATCAAGGAGATGTCTGTAAGATGCAGTATTATCTCTTATGCAGTGTATCACAAGCCCTTAGTAGCATATATCATAGCCTCCTCATCTCTTGTTTTGTGTGGTCATAGTGCTCATGTTGACTAATGCAGGCATCATGCTTAGTGGCTTAGGATTTCCCTGGTGGCTTTATCTGTAAAACTACATTCGAAAAACTTAGCGGCCGTTTCTGGAGACCATCATGAAATTTGTTACTGGAAATTTCTCTGTTTCCAAATGGTGAATATTTACTCAAAAGCCAAATTTTACCTGAAAAATTAGGTTTCAAGAACAATAGAAAATTATTTTTGCCTTATGGTCTGTGGCTTTATATGCCATCTCTCAGATTTTGTCAGTCTCAGTATGGCAAGGAAATAAGGGAAGAGGGCAGAAGAGGTGATCATTTCAGAATCAGTCTCAGCTGGATCTCGAGGGTGTCTGCCACATTCAGCAAAACAGTGGTCTGTACTCAAACACTCAGATAAGAAATTGAATTACTTTTTAATTGAGTTCCTGTTGTGATGGAGCCTGGATATGAATGCTTTATACTACTGCACTGCCTTTCATCTTAAGATATCAAACTACTTGACAACTATTAATTCATTAAATCTCTCCCCCCTCTGTTAAGCTGGTTAACACAAACACAGGAGCACTCTACCCACTACTGAATCTCATCCACCTAGGGGCTTGGCAAGGAAGGAAACAACTGTAAGGCCATTCTACTCAGAAGCTTCTAAAATGGAAAAACAAGGAACATCTTACTTACCTCGTTAAAACTGCAAGAGAAGTTTTATTAGACAGAATGTAATTACCAGAAGCGAATTGTGACCACAAAGCTGGTGCTAACAGTTTTGCTCCCTATACACAGTGCTATGGGGTCTTAATTACAGTGATTGGTCTGCAGCCCTGGGTGTGTCTCTCAGACTATTCCATGTTCCCTAAGCTCTAAGGTTAAGCACAACTG